CTAGCCTTCGTCTTCGTGAGTCGTGTTTGTGCCTCTCCACCGGTGGAGTTCTTCTCCATTCGGCAGGCTGTCGCCTAGGCCAGAACCAGGGCTGGTCGCAAGTATCCTGTTGAGCCTTCGCTTTCCTCTCCGCGCATATTTCCTCTGTCCTAGCCACTGATGGGGTGGGTTCGGCGACTTATCGACTTTCTTGTGGAGGCGGGTGTCGAATGTTGCCTTACAGTTGTAGTGACTGGTGACCAGTGCTCATGTTTCCCCGACTCACGTCTTGGCCCTGTGTTGGGTTAGCAGGAGCCGCCAGCGGGGGTGGCTTTTGAATCCAGTCGATGGGTTGCGATCGTCGATTGGGTTGGGGAAGGACTAGGGTTCGGGTCTTTTGATGCCTACCCAGTGGTGGCCTTTTGGGAAGGTGTCGTGTCCTTTTGGCCTGGATCTAGTTAGCCGATAAGGAGTTTCTAGAGTGTTTGGGCCATGGGTTGGATCTTCTCATATAGTTGCCTTAAGTGTTGGTTTGCTTGGGGCGTTTGGGAGTGGCTTGTCTTCTGGTGGGGAGGACTTTAGAGTTTCTATTATGTTTGTTTCATATTTTTGGGTGTTTTTTTGTTTTTGTTCTCCATTATTGGAGTTTTCTACACATGTGACAACTTAGATTACTACTATTTGTAGTTTGTGGGTGTGCTTAGTTAAGTTGATTCTAGGCTACGGGCGTTCTCGTTGTGTACGCCTCTCTCTGAATTCAGTTGTATAGTTGTTTCAGTTGGCTTGTTCGGCTTGTTGACCGCTTTTAAGTATGTGTTTTATTAATTATATCTGTCATTCTGAAAAAAATAAAATAAAAACCTAATTGCTTGAAAAACCCTAACCTTTTATAAAATTGTAAAAATGTCTAGACCTTTTTAAAGTTGTCATTTAATACCCCAATTTTTTCTATTTATTGCAAAATTAACTCCAACTGATTTGCCACCACCATCGTGATGATCTGTACGACTAAAACATTTATGTGGTTTTTTTGGTGTAAACACACACACACACACACACACATATATATATACATATTATTTCCAAATCAGATAAAATATATTGCAACTATTTATCTAAAATGACTCCACAATCCTCAAATTCCCATTTTTCGCTTAAGAAACTCTAAATCGAGTTTTTCATCCGTAACAACAATTTTTGTACGTCAAAATTCTTGCACCTACCCAAACGGAATATGATTCGCATAAATAGACCAGCCTAATCCTATATAGGTCCACAACTCAAGCCCATGAAATGCACAAAGAAGCTCAATGGTCCTTTGCCAGCATTGTGTTGAACCCTTCCAGGTGTCGATTCGTATGTCATTAACTTTTGACGATCTCCCTACAAGATGTGAACAAGAATCGGCGAAGCAAACCGGTAAAACAACCCGCCCAACCGTTCCCATCATGAAAAGCCAAAACGAGCGTCCCATCCTCAAAAGTCTGATTTTTGCATGGCAGCACGTATCAACACCTAGCCTCTAAGGTGGTATACCGCCATCATTAATTTTTTACTTTGCTCATGTATAAATAAGGTCCTAAATACCTCGAAAAATACAACAATAAAAACATACGCAAAACTCATCAAAAAATACATTCTCTTCAATATACACATTTACTTTCCTGCTCATATCTCATACTACTGTTGCACTCCATTTTTATCCTGTTTTTATTTAGATTTCGTGCTAAAATATCCTTAACCTATTAAATTAGGTTGGTGACCAATCCTCGTCAACAGCCACCAAATTCATCAGTCAAAAAAAAAATTGAGAATCAACATCATCCAATGAATAACTAGAACGAGATTTAGAAAATAAACAACAATGTCATATACTTCTCGCATAAGCTCAAACAGTCGATACAAAAATATCCAACATCTAAAATCAGTTGGAGCTAAAAATACAAGGCAAATATTGAGAATTTAATAGCAACTTTAAATAAGTTTGAAATTTTTTTGGAATTTTAAAAAAGGTCATGGTTTTTCAAGCAACAAGGTATTTTTATAATACAAAAATCTCTGGTCTTTGTAATAGTGTTAAATATATAAAGCGTGTTTTTCAGTTTCATTTGGGGTGTTTGTTTTCCCGCGCTCAAAATTTCACGCTAGGGTTTTCGCAATCAAATTCTCTCTGCTCAAAATCGGTGCTTCGTGATGTCTGCCATCGAAACGAGTGCTCCGATGGACATATCGGAGCCTAATCCCACCGTATGTAATGTTCCCGAGCAAGACGCCGGCGTTTTCGAGCCACCGGATGTGTGCCCTGCTCCACCGCCGCCGCCGCCGCCGCCTCTATCTCTTTCTCCGCCTTCTCCTTTCCTCAATGAAGATAAAGTTACCGTTTCAGGTGGGTGCGTAAACTTGTGCTTATGTAAGTAGGCAATTCGGACTTCTTTGGTTTGTTGGTAAAGCTGGTGGTTTTAGTTTTGTGTTTCCAATGGAAGCGTAAGTCTGTCTCAGATTCTCTAGTGTTTTAGCATCATGCCGTTGCTTGATTTTACTTCGGTTTGTTGTTGCAGTTGAAGTTTTGCTAAAACCGTCAAGCACGGCGAAGTATGATGATGTCAGGTTGGCAGTTGAAAGGTAGAATTACGATCTGTGATGTGCCTTTGAATTTGTTGATATATAACACTTTTGGTTTAATTTCAAGTAATAATGTATTATTCTTATGGTTTCTTCGTAGAATGCTGGAAAAGAGAAGCATGAGCTATGTAGATGGTTCGATCTCTCTACCACCGGATAATACTTTTCTGGTGGATAATGTAGAACGCATATGCATATGTGATTCAGGTAGGCTATGAATCCGAGTCTAAAGTTAGTCTCTTAGAGAGGCCGGGCCGTGAAATTCACAACTTCTTGATCCTTTCACTCACTTTCTAAATAGCAAAGGACTGAAATCTTTTTTAATCGGTTAATAAGTTCCTGGTGTTGTTTATTTATTGACTTTTTATATTTTGGTGATTCATAGATGTGTGGGTGGAAAACCATGACATTCTTTTATTCTGGCAAGTCAAACCTGTTGTGCATGTTTTCCAGGTCAGTTCTGCCACTAGTGGTGCTTATTATTTTTTACTTTTATTTATGACTCCTCCCCCCAATTGTTAGCTACTAAGCTTTCTAAGTTTGAAATATGTATCATCGTTCGATAGACCATAACCTTCTACTGGAGTGTAATAGAAAAAAGAGAAAGAAAACATATCTTTGTGACTAAATACTCACACGTCAACTGTATTTTCAGCTCAGTGAGGAAGGGCCATGTGAGGATATAAGCAATGATGGTCAACTTGCTAGCTTCAATGAATGGATTCTTCCTGCAAAAGAATTTGATGGCATGTGGGAAAGGTTTGTTTAAGGATATCTATTTTCTGAATTTTATTATACAGAACCTTACAGGCATGGTTTGCCTGTTCTCTGCAGCTTAATTTATGATTCAGGTCTCAAACAAAGGTTACTTCGTTATGCAGCGAGTGCGTTGCTTTTCACTGAGAAGGGTGTTAATCCTTTCCTTGTTTCATGGAATCGGTAAGTTTTGCTGATTTGAGAGAACTTCACTTGCTCATCCATTTTAGCTAGATGAAAACGAGGTGCATGAAAACTCTGATCCTATATGCCTAAAATATAGGATTATCCAACTTGGAGTACCTTAATTGGAAATGGGCTGTTCAACATAATATCTAGTGCAGTATTAAGTGTGTTCAACTTCAAACTTAGATTTGTCGAGGTAGATCTTACATTTTGGTTCCTAATCCTACCCAGTGCTGTTTCATTTTGGAAGGAAGACATGATTTGACGCGAGCATCATCACTTTACTTATTCTGAATGTTTTTACTTGGGGTTTTAGACTGTAAATGTACAAGATTTTTTCAAGCATCATGCATTGTGATGTCTATTATTTGGAATATCTGATCTAGTGTTATCATATGATACTCTCTGTTCTTTATTTCATTTCATGATTTATTTGTTAATGTCAGTGGAAGTTCCAAAAATAACACAACGACTTGCTGATGGATCTGTGATTGGTTGTGCAGCATTATTCTTCTTCATGGACCTCCCGGCACAGGCAAGACCTCTTTATGCAAAGCGTTGGCACAAAAGCTCTCAATACGCTTTAGCTCAAGGTTATTAAAGTAACTGTTATGTGGCTCCCATGTTTGTGTGATCTTCATTTGCATGATATGTCTACCATTTGGCTGTTGTTCTCAAGTCAGATACCCACAGTGCCAGTTGATTGAGGTTAATGCACATTCCCTCTTCAGCAAATGGTTTTCTGAAAGTGGGAAACTGGTAAGGCCAATATTCTCTGCATTTAAATTTTCATTTAAGATGGGATGGGAGGTGGGGGGGACCTAATGCTCCAAAATGTAAGATAGAGATGGTTGGAAAGTGGAAACGAGAACTTTAGTTCGGCCTAAATGAATTTAATATAACTTGAATCAACCTAAAATGATGAAGATTAACAGCAATGGGTGAAAACATGATCTGCTGGACTATGAGAAATGGCATATTTTAGTGTGTGTTCTTTCACAGATTTGACATATACAACTTTCTGGATCAAGAAAATCGTATTTCTTGGTTAGATACTTTTGCATATATATAACCCAAAACCAGTCCTTCAATTTCTATGCATAAATCTCCAAGTCAAACATATATACTTGAATTGTACTTCTAGTATGATTACTGAAGGTCAGAGTTTTGTGTAGTCTTGAGATTAAAAGTTGTAAAAGTATATGGTTATTTGTCAAGGATTACTGTATCTTATGAGTTTGTTGTTCCGGCCTCCAAATATTAGCTTGAGCCTTTACATGAAATAATGTGCTTGCTCTGAATTCATAATTTCAGGTTGCAAAACTTTTCTCTAAGATACAAGAAATGGTAGAGGATGAAAACAATCTGGTATTTGTCTTGATCGGTGAGAATTTTTTGATTTAGAATTGTCAATTTGCCATGATGTGATTGGGTTTCAACATATATAAAGTGTCACAATCAATTGTTGTAGATGAAGTTGAAAGCCTTGCTGCTGCCAGGAAAGCTGCATTATCTGGGTCCGAGCCTTCAGATTCTATAAGGGTATATTTCTTGCATTAAACAGAACATATAGTTTTTGAGTATACTCTCCTCACCCACAGAGAACTCAATTGTGGTCTCCCAGGTTGTCAATGCTCTTCTGACCCAGATGGACAAGTTGAAGTCCTCACCTAATGTAATAATCCTAACTACATCAAATATAACGGCTGCTATTGGTAAGATGAGTTTTTTTTTACCTTTATAGTTTCCTATCAATTCCTTTTTTCTGGAACGATGTTTTTCTATTCATTCGGACTTCTTTAGCCGTAAAATGTGAAGATAATGTGGAACGTTTGCTTGCCACATCATATGATGTACCTCACATCATTGCCCTTAGATCTGGAAGACTTGCTTTAACTATTCAATTGCTGTTATTGGTTGGAGACAAACCAAAATTGTTAACAAATGAAAAATATATATACATGATATAATTGATATACAATATTTATCAACAATGCCACAGAAGTATTGAAGGATTATAACCCATGGTTGCAGATATTGCATTTGTGGATCGAGCTGACATAAAGGCATATGTTGGCCCTCCAACTCTCCATGCACGATATGAAATTCTGAGATCTTGTTTGGAAGAGCTTTTAAGGACAGGAATACTATCAAATACCGAGTTTCAGGTATGCATTACTATGCATATATATGTTAGAGAGTAAAAAATGCAGCCAGCTGTAATTATAAAGTCCAGAACTTATTCATCTTGGTAGCAGTACAAATTATTTGCTAAGTTAGTAGCTATACTGAAATTCATGTAGGCTGGTCACCTCCTGCCAAGTTTTATTAGTCTGAGAGAGCAACTGAATACGGACGTGGTACCTGAGGCTGCGGTCCCATTTAGCATCTGCAAACAATTGCTTGAAGCTGCTGAAGCATGTGAGGTAACTTCAATACATTCTTAGTTTCTTACAGATTCAGTCAATTATGTATTCTACTTAGGGAGGGCTTGCAGGAACTTCTGCTTTCATAAGTGATATATTTTGCAGAAATTAAAGTAATTGATAATCACAATAGTTAGTTTTAGCAAATTCGAGCTAAAATTGAATAAGAGTATTCAGTGAAATGTCATAAGATCAGTTATCCTGAAAGTAGTTGTGATTGATTTTTGCAAATTCGAAAGAAGAATCTTGGTAACTACTTTTACTTTCAATTCAAGAAATTCTCAAATGGCGCCCTTGATATGTCCACATATGATTCATTTGTTCGATGATTCAGATGGTTCTTTAAGCATAATATCTGTCCAAACAACTCCAAGTGACATTTAGGCTTCAACATATACTGAATTGTTTTATCACCAGGGATTGAGTGGACGATCGCTCAGGAAGCTTCCATTTTTGACACATGCAGCACTTGCAAATCCCCTTGGCTGTCAACCTGCAAAATTCTTGCTTAAGATGACCGAGACAGCTAAAAGAGAGTGTTCTCAGATCCTTGATTGAATAACAGCCACACGATCACATGATCCTAAGTCCATTTTCCAGAGTCCAATTCTGTTAGTCGTGGTGCAAAAATTGAAACTGTTCAAGAATTGTAGAATTTGAGGATGCTTCACCAGGCTGTTCTATGCAACAACAATTTGTAGCTCAATAGTAAAATCGATCAGCAATATGTGATGATAGTCAAAGTATATGTAGGAGAGATTTGCTCGATGTTGTTCTCTATTGCTTTCATTGAATGGCTGAAATATGCATAATTGGCCACAGGTTATCATGGATTCATGTATGTAGTTTTAGTTAGAGACAAACAAAGTACTTAACAGGGATCAATGTGTTAACCTTTGAATTTTTATGGAGGAATATTCAACTTTTGGCTGATTGTATAAAAAAATTGTTGTTCAATTAAAGATTCTGAATGATGGATGTCTAATATACCAAACATTCTTTTTTTGGGGTACAATTTTGTGAAATGCATACTAATATCAATGAGACATTTGAAATGCAGATTTATAACTTTTTTTTTTTCCTTTGTCTGTTTATTTAAAATTACATAAAAAATAAAATAATATCTCAACTTCTCAAGTGTTGTTAATTGTTATAAGCCAAGATGATTAAGTGATTATGCCCTTGTCACAAGTAAGCGTGCATGCTCAGCAATTTTCACATCTTTTGCTGATGCGAAAACTTGAGAAAACTTGAGAAACTGTAACGACAAAACACCCAAACGAGTAAAAGAACACAACTGAGAATTCATAATGGACTTTTTATACCGATAACCTAATAATATTCGAGCAGTGCAAACAACAGACACCTAAACTTGAAAACTGAGAATTCAAACACATGAAGACGCATAAAAATGACAATTGGATAATTTGCTCTAACCTCTAGAGCTAAATCAAACAATAATATTAATACCTTTCTCTCTTTGTGGATCATGCACTATGAAGCAGAACCAAAAAGCGCACAGATTGCATCGTGTTTACGAATATGATGCGGGCACTTGTAGAGCAAATCTTTCGCCTCAGAATATCTACCGTTATCGAAAAACGACTTGAAAATGTGCCGGTAAGCTGAAACAGCTGGATATTCCTTCACACTCAAAGCCATCAAGAACTCATGAGCATCATCAACCGACCCAAATTTAGAAATGTACTCTACGAAAGGCTCAGCAAAAGGCGGATAGTTTTGTTTCTTCATCAGACGAAGAAGGTCCATGGCCTCTTCGAGTTTCCTCTCCATCAAAAGCTTCTGAATCAAATTCTTATACGTCGACTGCCAAGGTCTCAGCCGAGCCTTCTGCACCAACTGAACCAATAGCGTGTACGCGCCTTTCGTTCTCGACTGACTCAAAAACCCGTTTATCAAAACATCTAAAAGCTCACCATCGGCATCAAAGCCCTTTCCCACCATTTTCGCAAAACAAAGCAAGGCCTTATCGACCTCATAGCCCGCACAATGCCCTTTTATCAAAATCGTCCACGTCTTTATATCGGGAGCACAACCCTTTTCCTCCATCAAATCAAGAACTGCAGAAGCTTCCTCGAACCTTCTGAATTTACAAAGCCCGAATACCAATTGGCTGTAAGTGATGTTATCAGGTTCATAGCCTGCAGCTTTCATGGCCTCGACAATTTCTTCTGCCTCGTCGAATTTTCCGAGGCTGGCCAGAGACCTATGAATCCCGTCGTATATGTTTTTCGAGAAAGGGTTCCCCCCTGCCTCGTATTTATTCACGACTCTGTACACTAAATCGAGATTCGGGCTGCCGTGAGTCGCGAGTGTTCGTAAAAGTGAATTGCATTCGGTGATCGAGGGCTTAAACGAACTATCCATCATGTGCTCGTATAGTTTCACGGCATCGACCAGCATTTTGTTCTTCTGGAGCTGCCTCGAAATTTTTATATACGTATCGAGATCCAACTCAAACCCTGCATTCTTCATATCCTCCAGCACAGACCAAAACTCGACAATCGACTCTTCCCAACAGAGAACCCTCAAGACGCCGTTATAGGTTACACTATTGTGTTTGAAATTTAAATTCTCTTCCACCCACTTGAAAATTTTGAAAGCTTTCAAAGGATACCCTTTTCCTCTGAGCTCCTTCAACACCCTCAGCACAAAATTATCCGAGACGTTAATTTCCATATTCGCCAATTCACCCTCAACCCGTTCTCCCCACTCGGCATTCTTAATCACACCAACCACTTCTTTGACTTTATCCTCCATAGCATTTTCATTAATCAACCTCTCATAGAAATGCTTCAAAGCAGTAGCCTCGTTTTCCATCTTCGACCCGCGAAAGGTCGTGTAAATAGTCTTGTAAGTCTCCTCGTCAATATAACACCCTTTCTCTTTCATTTCCTTGATTGCCACCCAAAACTGCTTCAAGAAATCCTTACGAGCGTAAATTCTTAACACCAAGCTGTAAATCGACGAGCTGGGCTCGAACCCATTTTTCTCCACAGCCCATTTGAAGAAAAATGAGACCTTTTTGGGTTCTTTGCTCAGTTTCTTCAACACATACATAACGGTTTCATGAGTTAGCTCCAGATTCGACCCTTCTAGTTCTTTATCCAGCTTCTTATCCCATTCATTGGAGGAAAAAATCTCTAGAAGTGATTCGGGTTTGGATGAAAAAAAGAGTCTTTGATTGTGGGAGGTGGGTTTAATCGGAGTGTGGATTTTATCCGGCGAAAAAAAGGTGGAGAAATGAACGAGACGAGTCACCTGTTTGTGAATAGAGCCGGCGGAGGACGGCGAATGAGCCGAGATGAGCGAGTTAACGAGTCGATAGTGAGTCAGGATTCGCTTTGCCTTGTTCATGGCTGTTTTGGATGCAGTGCAGCTATGGAGTTCCAAGGATTTTTTTAGGGGTTTAAAGTTGAGATTTGACAATTTTAACTGACCGGTTCGCACACCCACCGGGTTATTTGGGCTGTCCGGTTTAGACCTCGAGCTGGTTCGATTCTTTATTATTATTATTATTATTATTTTTTCACGAAACGGAACCGGAATCGAGTAAATAGATACGATACGGTTAATATGTTAAATTCATAGTAACCAAAAAAGAACTGATTGTGTTATCACTTATCACTTTTACGAGTGTTCATAATAGTAAATTACACTCGATGAATGTTAATGTTATTTAGGAATAATATATGTAGATTGCCATTTTTTCTTAAATAATATAGTGAAAAAATGTGTATGTATTGTCTCTCAAATTCAAGTTTGAGTGTTCTTTATAGTGAATTGCATCCGATGAATATTAATGTTATTTATGAATGATTGTCATTTTTACTTAAATAATATAGTGAAAAAATGTGTATGCATTGTCTCTCAAATTCAAGTCAGAGAAAATTACTTCATTCGCCCACACATTGTTTTTCATATATATTTATGATTATTTCATTTCAAATATATTAGTTTTTACAGTTTAAAAATTATTGGTTCGTGGTTTATTTTTTACCTTAACTTTCCTGACTCGTCTATAAATAACTTATTTATAATTTTATTTTAAATAATAGTTTATCAAAAAATTTTAAAAAATGTAGTAGTTATGTGAAAAAGCCCACTTGTTTAACTAAATATACACATTCTTCCTACCTTTTCCTTTTATTTATTTATTTGCCTCTATAATGGCACAACCATAAGTACCAGCCCCACATTATGTGCACCTAAAATTTCAGTATTTGCATAGTCATTATCCTTGTCAATAATCAATAGCTGGTAGTGCTTTTGTCTTCATAATCTTTTATAACTTTCCTTTTAACTTTTTCTAAATGTGACCCATACTTTTTTGTTTGCGTTTATATGNTTTTTTGTCTGGATGGTATCCCCACATTCACTTCGGGGCCTCACCCGACCCTATGTCCCTACTCCCATTTAGTCCCATTTAGTTTCTTTATTATGTATGCATGATGACCGTTGATTTTGTTTATTCCTGCAATCAATTTCCCTCATCTACGGTAAAAACTGAGTTGAGATGAATTTGAGCTCCTAATATTCAAATTTATATTCGAGTCTTAATTGAATCGAGCTTGGCTCGTTTGTTTCATATTAGAGAGAATGATAAACAATCTCAAACTCAACTCATTTACTAAACGAGCCAAGCTGGATTCAAAAGTCGAATTGAGTTCGACTATTAACTAAACAAGCTATAACTCAATTTGTTGTGTTTACCAGCTCCATTTGCAACTCTTCTTGAGCTTTCAAAAATTTCATTTAATAGTTCACTCGTACTATTGCCACATGTAAAATATCCATTTAGCATCTATTGAGTGCCATAAAAGCTATTCCAATGACTGACCAAATAAACATATAATTGAGCATCTCTCAGTCTGAGTCCATCACTGTACTGAGTTTCATTTGTTTGCTAACATTCTGTATTCTCCACAAGAAAACCCTTTCACCTCAGTTTTTTTATTATAAAGTTACAATCTTTATCTCAATCTGGATAATATATTTGTTGGGTTTCTCTAATTTGAGTGAATAAATTCCTTTTCTTACCACTGATTCTTGTTTCCTCTGTTTCCTGTCTGATATTGGGGAGAATTAAGTAAACTGTAATAATCTTTTTTTTTTTTCCAAGAATTAGAAAATGGACTTGGATTTCTGGGCTGCAAGAAATAATAGGCACATCCCTTCAGTTCAATCTGCCAGGCTTAGCAATTCTGGTAAAGGAATACTTTTATATATGTCCATGTTTTTGTTTCTTGAATAGTATGAGTTCTTCTTGAATATGTTTTACTTTCTGATTTTAGTGACAGTTTGTGGATGGGATTTTCCAATCAGCTGATTTGCATTGTACTTGTTATTTAGCCCAAAAAACATGTTTTTCTTCTTCAGTCAGATTGTGCTTTACCATTGTTCATAATTTGGGTGTTCAGAGGTTCAAACTTTAATCAACTAAAATTGGGCTGTAAATTACTGATATTGGTGTGTGGATTTCTGCTCAAATTTGTTGAAAAGAAACAATAATATCAGAAGTTTTTCAATATTTATAATCCAATATGTGTTTAAGAATGGGGTGAAACAATTTTAGCTAATTTAAAAAACAATTTTAGGTAATTTAAAATCAGTGATTATCGTTTGGGTTATGAATAGGTAGTCGTGTATATAGAGAAGACGAAGAAGCTGATGAAGTGAAAGCGTGGTTTCCTTGTCCTTTCTGTTATGTGGAAATCGAACTTTCACTGCTTTGTGTTCATCTGCAAGATGAGCATTGCTTTGACCTGAAAAATGCGGTATCAAACTTTATTCCATTCTCTGCTTTGCTATTTATTACATGATTATAAATAATGTTTTAGGAAAGATATGGTCATAGTCTTTTTAGAGATACACTGCAATTTCATTTCGGGGTGGGATATATCGAAAATGAAAATTTATCCCAAGATACAATGGAGTTAGAAAATGTAATAATTTTTTTTAGCATTTCTATAAGTTCACACGTTCAGCAAGAATTGTTCGAGTAAAAGAACTCATGGCTGTTACGTATTTTAGTTCATCTTTTTTAGTACCACTTTTTATGTTTCGATTCCAATTTGCAGGTTTGTCCCATATGTGCTGCTAACTTAGGAAAAGACCCACTTAACCATTTCACGATGCAGCATGCACAATCGATTAAGGTACACATTTTCTCCGTGTTTTAACGGAAACAACTTGTCATCCGAAAAGTGATTAAAAAGAGATGATTTTCCTTTTCAATTGTCAGCGGAGAAAAAAGTCCCAAAAGGCTGGAAATATTGTAAAGGACTTGAGTTCATTTCTTAGTGCTAATTCATTGACTAGTCGAAGCATTGGGAATGAACCAGCTCACGATCCTCTCCTTTCGGATTTTTTACGCAACATGCATATGGCTTCGCCTCAGGAAGACATATCTTCACGCGTTTTCGCAAAAAGTGATGAAGAAAAAAGGTTAACTTCCATTTTCCAGAAGTCCCGAATTTGTCATTTTTTTTTATTTTTTTATTTTTTATTTTTTATATGTAGTACATTTTTCTGTAAGGATAATTTTGATATTGAAACATGCTTGCATATTATTATTACGAATGCAACTGAAAATCTAGACTTTTGAGTGTTGAATTTCTCTGATCTGTATTTTGGTTCTCTGCATTTTTGTAAAGGTTAAACGAGTATATACTACAGACACAGAGAAGTGGCATAATTTTTTCTTGTTGCTAATTTAGTGATGCATTTGGTTACAAATTTAGTTCACTTCCTGCCAAAATCAACGTTCAAATTCTAGATAGAACAGCTTATGAAGTGTTACACATTTTGTCTGGTTTTGACATTTCATGCTTTTGTTTAACACAAAAGATGACTGATTTTGCTTTTCTTT